AAAGGTTTAGGGGTATCTTCTCAGGAAACAGGGGCAAAAGATTAGATTCCTTTTAGAAAAGTTAGATTCTTTGCACAAAGCAAACTTTAAATGGATTCATGGTTAACAGAAGTCTTGTCATAGATTTCCTTATTTATCTGTTTCTGGGTGCATTCCACATTGGTCAGTGACCTCTGTGAAACTGCTGATGTACTTAGAGGAGCCTGACAAACTGGGCCTCAGTTTCTCTTTCTATCAACAATTCTAAGGAAAAGAACAAATGGAAGATGAGGATCTAGAATCTTTTCCCCAAAACTAACTTCATTATTCTGTTGTTGTGTTGTGCCGTCAAGTCAGACCCCAGTCATAGCAACCGAGGCAGTATCACTATGGAAGTAGATTGCCCAATCTTCCTTCCAAGGAGTGGCTGGTGGGTTTGAACTGCCAGCCTTCTACTTAGCAGTCAAGTGCCTTAGGCACTATGCTACCAGAGCTCTAGGAAAGTCTATCTGCATCCCAGTGTCTATACTCTTACTCAAGCCCATTATTTTGGACTAGGATCTTCTTTATACATGCTGTACATATATTTATGGCAGTTCTTAGTGCATTGTTTTCATCTGTCATTTATAGATCTCAAAGCCTCTCAGTGGTTTGATTGTAAATTCCTTGAAGGCTGTAAGTCTGCATGTTCTTTATTTTATTATTATTTTTTAATCACTATCATAAAATATAGGAGCTCTGGTAGCATAGTGCCTAAGGCACTTGACTGCTAACTAGAAGGCTGGAGGTTCAAACTCACCAGCCAATCCTCGGAAGGAAGGTTGGGCAATCCTACTTCCGTAGTGATACCACCTGGGAAACCCAAGGAGGGGTCGCTATGAGTCAGGGCCGACTCGACGGCATATCACAACAACAACAACATCATAAAATATACCTCCATGACTTTTCCAACCAAACAGACAAATTCTTTGCCATCAAGTTAAATCCAACTCAAAGTGACTTTTTAGGACAGACTAGAGAATAGCCCCATAGGGTTTCCAAGTCTGTAAATTTTACAGAAGTGGACTGACTTGTCATTCTCTCATGGAGCAGCTGGTGGGTTTGAACTGCCCACTTTTTAGTTAGCAACCCAGCACTTAAACCACAGCATCATCAGAGCTCATTTCTCAGTCCAAGTAGGCAATAAATACTACGGATGATTTGGATGAATTTTCAGTTTTCATTCAAATATCTGTAAGCAATGCCAAAATAATTTTGATGTCTTCTTTGAGAAAGGGACAATAAGCAAAGATGAATTTAACAGAATATCCCAAGCCTTCAAGGAATAGAGCCTTGAAAAAACCCTGAATGCCCCACCTTCCCCTGCATCCTAGTGATGATTAATTGCTTTGCGGGGCACCATTCCCAATGGCCTTATCATATCTAGAGATTAAGTCATCAGCATTCTTAGATATCATAGACATAAATCCTCTTGTGTTCACTACATATGTCTTTTTGCAAGGTTCTTTAGCAGAAAAATGTTCCTGGCAGCCCATGAAACACCGAGTAAAATGGTAATTTTTAAAAGCACTTATGCCCAGTGTGGAAACTTAACAGAATATAATAATACACTAATCTTTATCTCATATTTTCCTTTCATAAGGTCATCTCCAGACTTTTCTGCAAGAAGTTACTTCCAATTGGACTCAATTAACCACCAAGACAGTATACAACGACTGGTTCAACCAGCAAATTAGTAGTAACTTATGTTTAAGAATAACAAGCAACATTTCCGACTGAGCTGAGCATGTCAGCTTGAGGAATGCTGCACTGAGAAAATCACAGTGGAAGACAGATATGCTGGCTCCTCACTGACCAGGTAACTGGTTCATTCTTTCAACATCTCTCTCTTCTTTAAGACTCTTATCTAAACAATTCCAACCAAAACCAAACCCACTGGCAAGTCAATTCTGAGACTTTAATCTTTATGGACGCAGATTGCCATGTCTTTCTCCCGTGGTGCAGCTGGTGGGTTCTAACACAACCTTTTTGTTAACAGGTAAGCACTTAACCAGCATGCTACTAGGGCTCCTAATCTGAACAACACATTATTCAAAAGCAGAGAATCATAAAACTCTAGCAGAAGTTAAATACTTCTGACACACGTGGGGTTATGAGTCAGAGTTGATTTGATGCTCTGAGAATCTAGGGAAGTCAACTAGCATAGTGAAATTAGTAGCATAGAATATATATGGACTTCTAACGTATTTTAGAAACACTCCTCGTTTGTGCATCAAGGGCATAAGCATATAGCAAAGAGTGTAGCTTATACTTTAAAGGTGGTGTCTCAGACTTGTTCCCTAAGTGGATCTGTGTCCAGTTATGAAGGAGTTCCATTTTCTTGATGGTAACATGAAAGTTACCAAATTCCTGCCTGTATTGTCTCATATTCTTCAAATAAACCTTTTCTGAGAGGTTGTATTAGAACACCTTAAAGGATAGTGAGGGGTCGTTGACTTTTCAGAAGACATGGTGTAAGCTGTTCTATGACTAATTGCTAATGTGTGTTCCAGAAATCTCTGCATGAGTAGCAGAATTTAGTCAGGGTAACTTTCATTATAACCTGATCATGAAGCTCTGGAGGAAACAGAAAAATCTCAAGTTTTCAGGAACTATGAATATTTACCAAAAATAACTTGAGAGTTGAGAATGACCAAGTTGGCTTGTGTCACTTCAGAACACTCATGGACTCTATTTCTCCCTATGCATCCTATTTTCCTCTTACTTTATTCCTGTTTCATATAAAATTGAGGATATGTACAAAAATATTTAACAGCAAATATCAACAATACTTTCTACACTGTTCCTTAACATTAGCTTGCAGATGTATTCACTCCACTCGCTCAACAACAAAAGAAATAAGAAACACAACTGTCATTACTTAAAGAGAACATAATTCATCCCATTTTAAAACAAAAAAAGTCATATGAAAAAGGTTATAAATCCTCATAGAGTTGTTGTTGTTGTTGTTATGTGCCGTCGAGTCGGACCTGACTCATAGTGACCCCTCCTTAGGTTTCCAAGGCAGTACCACTATGGAAGTAGATTGCCCCATCTTCCTTCTGAGGAGTGGCTAGTGGGTTTGAACCACCAGCCTTCTGGTTAGCAGTCAAGTGCCTTAGGCATTACGCTACCAGAGCTCCCTTATAGCAAGAAGGAAATATACAAAATAAATATTTAAAATCTATAGCACTCCTATCAACAGCAAACAACAAGGAATTAGTTAAAATAGAACATCAATAAAAATAAACTTCACATAGGAGAATATTTTTTATAAAGAAATCATTGTTCACCTTTATCAAAGAGGGAAATATGAATAAATTGAGACATCCCATTTTTTCCAAAAAGACAATGATTATTTTAAGTGAAACTTTTAATACAGATATTTTAAGGAATATATATATATTGCATTGTAACAAATTGATTTCAAAATGTATTTGGAAAAATAACAAGTTAAAAAGTTAAAACTTTTTATAAAGAAGAGTAATAATTGAGGATTTGTTTTGCAAGGTCCAGAAATGCTATCAGGCAATAAATATTTTAAAATAATTATTGCAGATGATAATCTTATTTAAAATAAGATTTATAGATGATTGCAACAAAATGGACATCTCCAAAAATAGAGACAAGTTCATTTTACATTGTTGTTTTTGTTGTTATATGCCTTGGAGTCAGCCCCGACTCATAACAAACCCTCCTTGGGTTTCCGAAGCTATCACTATGGACGTAGATTGCCCAATCTTCTTTCTGAGGAGTGGCTGGTGGTGGGTTTGAACCCCCAGCCTTCTGGTTAGCAGTCAAGTGCCTTATGCACTACACTACCAGAGCTCCTCATTTTACATTAGAATGTTGAATATGGAAAGAGAACAATTACAAATTCATGAGCAGTGAAAGCCTATTTCAAAATCAGCACGTGAAAATTGATGAAATATCTAGTAATATTTATCAATTCAAACCTAGACCTCAAAAACATATGTTGAAATAAATTTTGAATGGATAAAAAAAGTGTGAAAAAATGCGAATAGAAAGTGGTAAATGCTTACCTTCATATTTATTTTGCAAAGTGCTAAGATTTTCTAAGAAGTAAAAGAAACCACAATAGAAATAATAACTATTACAGCATAAACCTAAAAGAAATACTTCCGTTGGTAAGGAAACATCATGAACACGAAGAAAATTATAACTGACAAGATTTACATCAAATGTAACAGACCAATCAACACTATCCTTTACAAAAACCAAAAAGGAAAAGGCTGTATTGTTTTTAGATATTGGCTCTTGAGTAGACATTTCCACCTCTGGCAATAGGGTTGTTGTTGTTGTTATTTTCAACAAATCTGGAATTTTGACTGCCATTTTTCCTTTTAAAAAACTATTATGAAATATTTTATATTCTGAATATTATAAAGCATAATAAAATGATCACTCACCTACTCAAGTTAAGAAATAGAGCAGAATATTATCAAGACAGTTAAAATCCCATGTTTGTTGTTGTTGTTGTTATGTGCCGTCGAGTCGGCCCCGACTCATAGCGACCCCTCCTTGGGTTTCCGAGGCAGTATCACTATGGAAGTAGGATTGCCCAACCTTCCTTCCGAGGAGTGGCTAGTGGGTTTGAACCGCCAGCCGTCTGGTTAGCAGTCAAGTGCCTTAGCCACTATGCTACCAGAGCTCCCTGGCAATAGGGTAATGATGGTCATTTTAGCTATTCAAAATATAGAACACAGTTCTTTTGGTAGCTTATTCATTGAACACAAAGTAGTCCTGTCCTGTAAGATATTTTAATTTGGGAGTCTTTCACTGGAGAGCATGTTCTTCACAATATTGAGTCCTCATATGAACAATGTTATTGTTGTTGCTGTTGTTGTTATGTGCAGTTAAGTCGGACCCAACTCATATGAACAATAAGAATGTATAATCTGTTGTTTCAACTTTCTGGTTCTTTCTTAATCCTTTTCTATGTAGATCAAGGATTGAAGATAATGGGCACACTCAATACCAGCTCAGGTGGTGGTTTCATCTTGCTGGGTTTTTCTGACCAACCCCAACTGGAGCCCATCATCTCTGTGGCTGTCTTGCTTTTCTATCTTATGACTCTCCTAAGTAACACAGCAATTATTCTGGTATCTTCACTACACAGCCGACTGCAAACACCAATGTACTACTTCCTTACTAACCTCTCATTTCTGGACATTTGCTACACAACTAGTATTGTCCCCCAGATGCTAGTAAATCTGTGGGGGCCAAAAAAATCCATCACATATGCAGGTTGTTTTCTGCAGTTCTTCATTGCCTTTGACCTTGGTGCAACAGAATGCCTTTTATTGGCAGTCATGGCCTATGATCGCTACGCAGCAGTCTGCCAACCCCTGCGCTATGTGGTTGTCATGCACCCTCGGTTTTGTAAGAAGATGGTAGCAGCATCATGGTTGACTGGCCTAGGTGGTGCTCTAGGTGTGAGTTCCTTTATTTTTTCACTGCCACGATGTGGCCATCATACAATAGATGACTTCTTTTGTGAGATACCTGCCTTTCTTAAGATTATTTGTGAGTACACCAACATAATAGATGTTTTCATCTACATACTTGGGGTAATTTACCTTCTTCTGCCACTCGGTGTCATCCTTGTGTCATATGGGGTCATCACTCAAGCTGTGACTAAGATCAAGTCAGGCAGAGGATGGAAGAAGGTGCTTAATACCTGTGGCTCTCATCTCACTGTGGTCACCCTCTTCTATGGCAGTGCCATCTACATGTATTTGCAACCACAGAAAAGTTCCTCATACACTGTGGATAAATTTCTTAGCCTCTTCTACACCATAATCACCCCAAGCCTTAACCCCTTAATATACACTCTGAGGAACAAAGATGTCAAAGGAGCATTAAAGTGGCTTTTCATAAGAATTCAGAGTTCAGAACAAACATCAACTGAATAGGAGGATTAAAAATGATAATACAAAAACTTACTGCCATCACATCGATTCGGAGACATGATGACGCCATATTTCACTGAATAGAACTACTCCACAGAGTTTTCTTGGCTATAATCTTTACAGGAGCAGATTCCCATTCTTCCACAGGGCCACTAGATGTGTCCAAGCTGCCAACTTTTAGGCTAGTTGAGGGCATAACACTTTGCATCACCCAGCAATCTCTAATAACAATGTTGTGTTGGTGGTTGCTATTAAGTGGATTCTGAGCCACAGTGACAAAGAACTTCTCTGTAGTTCTCTGGTTGGATTTGAACTGCTAACCTTTCAGTTTTTAGCCAAGCAGTTAACCATTTGCATTTGTTCCATAATAATACCCATGAAACATGTCATCCTGATTTATACATAGTATCTCATTGAATCTGCACAGTATCTCTGAATCTCTGAAATTTAGGTATCGTTGTTTGCATTTTTCTGGTAAAAATCTGAGATCAAGGAAGTTTACTAACTTGTTGGGGTATAATACTTCAAAACAAAAATGCAAGATTAAAACACAAATCTGTCAGACTTCAGTATCTTGACCTTTTCAAAAAATGACACTACTCTGATGGAAAGTCCTTTAAGGCTGTGACAGCACCTAATCATAAGAGACCGACACTTTCTATTTACTAGTATGTATATAAAATAACTAATAATAATACTTTCTATGTTTATAATAGGCTTTTCTATTACTATCACACCTTCAATTCTGAAGGTCGGGGTATCTTATCCCATAAGATGTTTCATATCTGCCATTTCTCCCTTTAGATGAACTACCACTTGTATTCCTACAAATAAAGAATTTACTCAAATTTATTTGAATCTTAGAGGTTATATTTTGTTATTCCTTATGCTAATGTATAATGTTTATGAATAAAAATTCAGGGGCCAAACCTTTCTGAAAATTACTAGTGAACATACACTGGAGTAAAACGACTAAGTGTCTTACACTGTGGTTGCTCAATCTATTACCATGGACATCTGATTTTATCTATGGTAAGTGAATATACTACAGTATTTTTTTTCCCCCACACCATTGTGATAAGGGGTGTAAACAGTAGTAAAATGCATGGTGAAAAACTTTGTTTGATTTTTATCTGGAGCACTATTTGCTTAATCAATTCTAAAATAACTAATGCATTGGAAAAATAAAAATTTTCTTATTTCAGAATGATATTATGACTTCCTAACCTAACTGAGCAAGGTGTGGTGGTATAGTGGTGCAGTGGTAGTGTAGTGGTTAAGGCATTTGGCTATTAAGTGAGAGGCCAGTGGTTTAAACCCACCAGGTGCTCCATAGAAGAAAGATGAGGCAGTCTGCTTCTGTAAAGATTTACAGCCTTGGAAACCCAAGGTAGGTGACTATGAGTTGGAAATGACTCGAAGACAATGAATTTGGTTTTTTTTGAAGCTAAATCAGCAGAGTCAGTAAGCATTCTAGTGAATGTAGTGCCATACCACTCATAAAACAATCAACTGAGAAATAAAATATTCTGTCATTTAATTAGGAGGTTATTATGCTATTGCAGAAAATCTGAAATACTTGTTGCTGAACTAGCTTATATTTTTCAAAGGAAAATGTTGTTGACTTTGAAAATTGACAAATATTCTTATTAAAATACTGGCATTTTCAATTAAATAAATATCTCTTTTTTTATTTAAGCATGAGAAGATGTTAACTGAAGCATTTTGGTGTTTTTTTAATTAATTAATTTTATTTTTGCAGCTGTTGTTGAGAACATAGAGTAGAACACATACTAATTCAACAATTTCCACATGTACAAGTCAGTATCATTGGTTACATTCTTCAAGTTGTGCAAGTATTCTAACCTTCCTTTTCTGAATGGTGTCTCCCCCAAGTAACTTCAACACACTGCTGCGTAAGTTTCCTGTCTAATCTTTCAAGTGCTGTTGTCAATGTGATCCCATAAATGAATTATCTTTTGAAGGAGATAATTATCACACTTAAGGTGGTGTGAGTGAGATTTCAATTTCTTCACTGTCAATCTTGGGTCCAAGAAACTTTGAAATAGATACTCATCTGGCAATAAAAATATTGATGTAATGACTTTCTATTGTTAATACAATTATGTATCATTTTATCTAGTTAATTACTGAGAACAAACATAATTATAATTTGCCAAAATGAAGTTCATTAGCTGCATTTCATACCTTCACTAGCTACATGCTTTATCCAATAGTTTCCTTGTAAAATAAAGAAATCTCTTAATTCATTAGTTCTAAAAATAATCCTCAATATTTGCATACTCAAATTCCTTCACTACATGTCTGTCTTTCTTTTTTTACTTGTTTAAAATTAGTCATAACAGTGCATTCATTTCTATTAAAAACATTCCAATGCATGCACCAGAAGTTTCAGCATAGTTGATTTTAATATTTGAAAATATGTAATTACAGTAACCAACAAGTATTAAATGAGTGCCTACTACATGCCACGTACTATAATAGATTCTGGAGGGTTCTGCAGGAAACAGATACAATCCCTGATCACAGCTCTTATAGAAAATATTGTTAGATGATTCAATAGACAATTTTGTTGGAAGAAACTTTTAAAAATCCCATGCCACAGAGCAGGTGATCAATAGGTAATTGATATAGGATTAAATCAATGCACAGCATCAATCAATGGCTTGAGAGATCAGGAAATAATAATCTAAGAATCCTCTTTATTCATGTTTAAAAGATAAAGATGCCTCTAAGAAGGGGAAACTGTGCTGTCAGCTAAACTTCAGTGTTCAGAGAAAGATTTATTCTGATATTATTGTTAACAAATGATATAGAATGAACTCCCATGTGAGACTTTTTACAACTACAAGGCTGTGCCACCACCAATCCACAAATTCATATTGTGTGAAGGTAGGACTCAGGCATCTATATTTATCAAAGATGGGTATTCAGCCAATACTGAAAACAAGTCGCTTCTAAAATGAGAAAATCTAGCAATAGGATGTTCAGAAATTTGAGTTAGGCCATTACTTCATGTTCTGATTGTTTATTGCTAGGACTGTAATTTCAGGATGTGGTGCCAAGATTGTGGACATAGAAAAAGACACTGATATGGTTACTCTGATGGAAGTAAGAATGTTGGAAGTAGAGAAAACATTTCAAGTATTAAGTTTAAGTAGAAATGCCCACTAGAAAGTTTATAATGGAAAAAGTTCATCAGATTATCTGATAATAAATTGTCTTTCATAAATGATGGCAGCAGACAGAGGCTTTCTAGTATGTAATATTTCAGATGGTATACAGGTCATATAAATTTTTTCAAAAATTTAGAATTAATGCAGCCAAACAAAATATCAATCAAAATATAAAATAAAACAGAACAAACAGAATCAAGAAAGGAAAAGACAGTAAAGCATTATTTGTGATCAGTTTGTGCTATAAGTCTTTGGTTGGTACTCAGCATCCATTTTAGCCTCTCTCTGGTTTGCTTCTGCGTGCTGCAAGATCTAGAAAGTGAAAACCTAATTAGATACTTTCATGTCAAAATTGGAAGATGGAAGGCAGATGTAGTATTTGTTTTTTTCCTGGAAAATGAAAATGTGGAAATGCCAGTATTTCAAGTCCAGCTTGATGGATGTTACTGTGCAGTGTTTCTAGTTGTGGCAGATTCTTTATTAACGTTTGTTTAGTTAATCTGATTGTCAAAAAAAGCTTGCAGCTAGCAGTATGCTTAATAGTGAAACAATCAACCCTCCCCCAGCCCTTGAAATAAAAAACAAAATTAATTCAAATTCAATTTAAAATTTCACTAGATAGATCAGAATTAGTATATAAAGTTAAAAGGTGGCTGGATGCAAGATGAAAAGACAAAACTCAGTTGCAGTTCTATATAGACAATAAATGATAGGTAACTGAAATATAAAAATAATGCCAGTTACAATAGCATCAGAAAATACCAGATACCCAGGGATAAATATAAGCAAATAATGTATCAGACCTCTACATTAAAATGTGCTAGACATCATCAGAGAAATCAAATACCTAAATGAACATGGAGATGTACCACGTTTATGAATTGGAAGACTCACTGTTGTTAATATGTCAATTCTCCCCAACTGATCTCTAGATTTAAAACATCTCCAACCGTGTAAGCAGAATAATGGCCCCAGAAAGATGCCACAAACCTAATCTTGAAGTTTGCAAATAATTATGTTATAATCTAAGAGAGATTTAAATTGCAGGTGGTATTAAACCTGCTAATCAGACAATGTTAAAAACGCAGATTACTACCAAGGACCCAAAGTCATCGCAAGGGTTCTTGTTGTTGTTGTTTTTGTTATGTGCCGTCGAATCAAACCTGACTCATAGCGACCCCTCCTTGGGTTTCCGAGGCAGTATCACTACGGAAGTAGGATTGCCCAACCTTCCTTCCGAGGAGTGGCTGGTGGGTTTGAACCACCAGCCGTCTGGTTACAAGGGTTCTTAAAAAGTTGAAATAGGAGACAGAAGAGCCCTTGTCAAAGTGTATGACTGATGTGAGAAAAACTCAAGAAACCATTGCTGACTTGAAGATGGAAGAAGAGCCTGTTCTGGTTACCTAGTGCTGCTCTGAGAAGAATATACCACAAATGGGATGGCATTAACAAACAGGAGTTTATTATCTGACAATTTGGAGGCTTTAAGTCTGAGTTCAAAGTGCCAGGCTAGGGGCTGGGTAAAAGCCCCTTGACCTTGGGCTGCAGCTCTTGCCTCTTGCTCCCATCCCAGTGAAACTAGAGGCATCTCTTCACTCAGGCAGCTACTGGCTGCTAGGCTAACAAGTCCAAGGTTGACAGAGAAAATGGCACAGTCCTGATGTTACCAAACCATATAGGAGGCCATTCATTCAAGTCCACTGTAAATCCCAAGGTCAGCAGAGCATGGCAGGCTGCTGAAAAATGACACAGCTACATGTAGGGTCCAAGAGTGCCCTAAGTTAGAGACCACTCTCCAAGACTTCT